ATGAACAAATTCCCACTAATGTGACTGAAAAGGACTAATTAACATTGATTCATTGCCTATATCAGACCGAATTTAGGAAGGCGATCGCCGAATATAATTGTAAAAATAACAAAAACCGCGGTTTAAAAAGTGTGGTATACAGCGGAAAGGGCGCTCTAATGCAAATCAACTCACGGGTATGATGTGAGTTGTGCTGGAGCACGTTAATGAAGTGGCGAGCAAAAATTTCCTGTTTCAGGCAGCATACGAATTTTTAGTGAATTCAAAGTCATTTGACTTTGTGAGTGGTGACTGCTTGCAAACTGTTTGCTTCGTTCTTTGCGAGGGGCTTAGGTTTGTGCGAGTGGAGCGTATGTGTATGTGTATATCCGTAAAAGATTTTACGTAGCAGCACTGAACCATCACTGATAACCTAATTAAACGCTCAGTGTGACATCTGGGAGATGCCTATTTACCAAAATTGAAAGGAGAAATTCCATATCAAAATTTGAGGTGGACTAATGAATTATCAACAAATCAGATGCAGGTTTAATACACCTTCTTCATAAGGTTTATTAAGCTTTCAGCCTGATGGAGGGAGAGGAGTCTTTTATTCATCCTTTTTTCTTCTCCTAATGTAGTCTCGACTAGTCGAGAAAGATCGTGCTGTGTCGGCAGGGACAGTATTCTCGTTTTGTTCCTCTTGACACATTTATTAATAACATTTTAGAACTGCGGTGATCTTAGTTTATTTTCTTCATTATTTTCTCAATTAACTGGAAAGAAGAAATTTCTGTGATTTCAACGATATTTAATCAGAATCGCAATGACTGCCAATAGGCCGCTTTCGTCGAGACATCGGTAGGTTAAAATCTTTCTCTTCAGTGATTATTGAGTACTTGGTTTGATTGAAGTGCGGATATGGCCACTTTATTCGATGTGTTTTGTGAAGTTGGTGCCAGCGAGCAGGACGGTTTTGCTATAATATTAACCAAATATCCCGAAGACTACAACGACGAAACGGCCTTGAAAAGCGTACGACAGTTCAGCTTCCCATGTGGGCTAAAAGAGTGGGTTTTTACATAGTTTTCGATTTCTTTGCTTATATGCTCATCTTAGAGTTGATTCTGAGGCAGTACAACTTTTTTCTTTTGTTCTGACTGACTCGCAGTCTCTGTATACATTTGGGTATTGTCGCTTTACGCCAAGAAATAATACGTGTATCTGCATATTAAGGTAATAGTTTCCTTTTAGCTAATTGACGAATGAGCTTGTTTTTTTTCCAGCGGGTTCTCATGGCCAGGTGTTTTTTACAAGATTCTCAATCATGTGTCGTTAGTAATGAATAAGGGAACGGTGAGCACTTTTTTCTTTTCTTCGTCAGCTTTACTCTGTTACCTGATTCTTAAGCCCTCATGTACCCGTTTTTTTCTATCTCGCATTTATAAAAGCAACTTGTATACAAAAGTTATCGATACGTTGTTTTTGAATGTTCGCCGCTCTATCTTAAGTCCACAACTGAGTTCTGAACGAAAATGATTTTTTGACAACCATAATATACAAATTGCTGGACATACTTGAGCAGTACTAAATGTTGATCTAAGGACCAAATTCGATTCATACGATGAAACGGGTCAATGAAATGTCATTATAGCAAGAAGATCTTGATGCCATTCTTACTCGAATCTATCACACAGATATCCCTAACGTTGGTGATGTACTGCAATTTTCTTGCCACAACGGCATGCACGTGAGTATCCAAGTACAACATCTGTAGCCTCACGAATACGATTGGTTTATAAAAACCTCTCCTTATTGCAATCCTACAAATTTTTTTTGTCATCTATATCTTAGATTACCATACAAGAACATTGCAGAAACTTGAAGTAAAGGTGCCTGACGTCAGCAAGTTGCCCACACTCTCAGAGGACAAGTTCATGCTGGAATTTTATAACGCTGTGTCCCCAAGGCAAATGTTGGCGATATATGCTAGGTTGTTAATTTATGCTATCACAGTTTTTATTTAATTAAGTTTAATTGCTTAGCTTGCTGAAAGAGCGTCGAATCATATTTACTGGACGGAAGCTGAGCCAGTTAAGCTCATGTATTCATGCCGCATCAACTCTACTTTACCCTATGTTTTGGTAAACTTCGAGCTTTATTTTTCTTATTCTCTTTTCTTTTGAACTCCTATTTTTCAAGGCAATCTGTGTTCATACCTGTTTTACCAGAAAGTTTGCTTGATATGGTGATGGCTCCAATGCCTTTTCTAATTGGGGTTCCAAAACAGGTCATGAAAACAAATGTGAGTATACTAAGCACGAGCAGTTGTATTTTTGTGTTGTTCTTAATTAGTAGACGGACGCGGGTTAGATTAAAGGCAGTGCCATAGCAATAAGGGCGTTGAGTCCTCATCAGATCACGATGGCCAACTCTCTGACCTAGCTGTTTTTCAAATTCAAAAGAATGTTTCATTGTGGTTAGCAAGAAGTTTTGGCCATCCTGCCCACGCAGCGAACTTTCCCTTACCGTTGGCTATGTTTTTCTGAACAGTGGCGCTTTCCTGCGAGAAGCCGTGCTATCGTCTCGACCCGAAATTCAAAACTTTGGAATCATGATGCTACAACTC